GTTCAGCAAAGCTATACAAATATTGTAAATAAAATGTCCATTTGAAACAGATATTTATATTTATGGAGGTACTACTCCCATCCAAAAGCAGTACATTGCTTAGCCTTTTTTACTTGTACACTTGTTTTTAGGAATTGAAGGATACTGTTAAAAAAAGTGAAATGAAAATGCTACTTGTCTGAAAGTAAGTATGAGCAAAATCTACCTAAAGTATTACAAGTACTAGATGCAGAAACAACCCCTGTAACTTTTATATTATTATATATTATACTTATGCATGCATACACACATCAGGATTGTACTGTTGTCAGTTGAATTGGAGGTCATGTTTAGCACCACACTAATAAGTAACATGTAATACTAATTCACTTCTCAGAAAGGCTCCATTCCAGCATTGAACCACATTTTACTTTAGGTACATTTAGAACTGAAAACTTTGATCTCGGGTAGGAAATTAAAAAGACCATCAGGCAATCACAGCATGATTTCAGGTATTAGTTGTAATACTGGCTGTAACACTTTGAGCTGTTGTTGCCATAGTTATTAACACAACTAAGGTCTCTAGTGCGTATGAATTAGGACCTCAAACAACCTTAAACCAAAACATAATCTTTAACTGCATCAGTCAGAATTAATTGTTTAACCTCATTGATTTTAGTTAAAAAAAGACAAGAAATTATACAAGATTACCAGCCAAAAACATATCAGCCAGTTTCTATTGTAACTTTCTAACAGCAAGCTCTGATTCTGTACAGATATCAGATTCATAAACAAAGGAAGAGAAGGAAAAGACTGAAAACTACAAATCCCTCTAGACCTTTCTCTGAGCGAGTCATGTGACAGCCCTAAACTCATTAGTCACACAGACCCAGAGCCATACAAACTGAGCTTGACCAATGCAGTTAGCAGCCATACTTGTTCCTGTAATTAATGTATTTAATGTCAAGCAACCTGTAATTTTACGCCTCATTATTGATGTTTATGTAAAGCGGTTTGGACCCTGAGGGAGAGCAACATAATCTGTAGGCTTGTGGTTCAGGCAATTAACAGATTAGGAATAAAGATAGAAACGGTAAATGAAAACACTGTTGGCAGCAGTTCATATCAGGACATCTGAAGGGGTCACAAGCCCCTAAGGTTGTGAATGACTGAATTACGTTAATGTGTTTTCTGTTATACCAAGAGCCTGACTGATTCTTGTTTCATGACATGGACATCTAAATGCCAGATAGGTCTTTGGAAATGTCAAGAACATTTCTACACACATCTTTGCAAGGACACAGGCTGACATGGAATAGTGAGTTGTTAACATTTTATCTTCTTACCTCTGTGAGGAAAAAAACCAATATCTTTAAAGCTCAAAGTTCTCAATTTTCTGCGATGTTAGTGAAAATGCCGGTTGTGCAGGTACAGGCGAACAACGTGCCACCTGAAACCCCCGGTGAAAGACCATCTCTGTTGGTGTGATATGTGATGTTGCCTTGGCTGTGCAGACACACCCCTCATGATGTGTCATAGACTATACAGTATGAGAACTACCATTATGAACTACATGATGTTATTTATATCACAGTGGGCTTCCATACAAGTCATTAGAAAATCACAGCTATACATTCTTCATCATTTCAGTCCCTTTTCTAGTATTTATTTGGCTTTATCTTGATAATACTGTACACCTTTGAAGATGTCAGGTGCACATTTATTACTGTCTTTTGATTCCCCTTTTGTTTTAAATGTTCTGTTAAGCCATGTAGTAGAGTAAAAAGCACCATACTAGCCTCCAAAATGTGTGGAGTAAAATTATAAGTAGCATAAAATGGAAACTGAAGTATGTAAAAATAGTACTTAAGCACAGTACTTGAATACATTTGCTTTGTTATATTATTCCACCACTGGTGCTGTAGTCTTTATCAAGCAGATCACAGACTCCTGTGTTTCACCTGTTGGTCTCCTCTCAGTGTATGGGCTTCTATGGTGGATGTGTAGGCTACTACTCATAAGTCACTTCTACTGGTGAAACTAACCAAGTGAATTCACTTCTACTGGTGAAACTAACCTATCAGACTCCAAACACCACAGTTACTACAGGTTTCTGACCCGGTGTCTCATCCTGAACAGGCTCTGGGTGTCCACGTGCGGACTGGTCACGTCTTCATCGTCCGACACGTACACGTGATCCCAGGCGCTGTAATCGATCCCCGCTCCGGTGCTCATCTTCCGGCTCTTTCTGCTGTTTCATCCACAGGTTTTCACTTTCTGTTCACGGTGAAGTAGAGGTTTAGCTGGGACTTTACACCGACATGGCGGCAGCAAATAGGACAGAAATCAATAGTTTTTAAATCCTCTTAGCGAGGCGAGCCGGTTACAGAGATCCCCTCTTATCCAATCAATCACGTCATTACGTCAGCGCGTCGGAGGGTTATTTATTGAAGAAGACATTTACTCCACATTTTTACTTAGAGTTACAAAAATATGGCACCTAATTACAAAAGAATAAGAAGGCAATTAAAACCAAATGGGTATTTGATAAATAGTTTTACTTGAAATGTTTTTTGTTTCACTATTTTCTTGATTTTTAATATATCTTTCTTTATTTCTTTGTAATTGCTTTTATTATTATTTTTGTATTATAATGTGTACCTGTGTACCCCTGATTTCAATGTGTGTGTATATAATGTTTGATCTTATTTCTTGAATAAAAAAATTAAAAATATATATACATTTATATACATAGTGGAAGAAGTACTAGTATTTTTTCTTGAGTAAAAGTAGCAATACTCAATTGTAAAAAATACTCAAGTAAAAGTCCTGCAATCAACATCTTACTCAAATAAAACTTCAAAAGTATTGGCTTCAAAATATACTTAATGTTCCAAAAGTACTTATTGTGCGCAATGTCCCATTTTACAATCATATATAGATACACATGTACAGGTTTTTTCAAATACAAATGCACAGACAGCAACTATAAACATTTGGCCCATAAAAACACATATTCACAAAAACATGCATTAATGAGGATGTGTCACAGCAGAGGGACTCCCATCCCATGTTTTGTCTATTTTGCCATAGGTTTCACTTTCTACATCCAGTTGTTTGTGCGTTGACAGGCTCCAGGATCAAGTTAATGACACAAAAACGACAAAAAAGCTTGCCAACATAAACATGGAAGCACAGGCCAGGATGCACAGGTTTTTCCTCTGGAAGTGTTTGGGAAGTGATCACACTGTAAACATTCCCACAATATTCAATGATAGTTTGCAAAAATCGAAAATCTGTCATTAGGTTCGTTGTACACAAGACTATCGGAGATACAAATGGAGCTGCTTTCTTTCCAGTCTAATATTAATGAAAGGAAAATCTATTCTGTAAATCTGTAAAACATATTTTTGATGTGGTTTTTATCAGCTATGCCAAGGCTTCTCTATCATAAATGATCAAAATAAAATGTCCTTTTCCTTTCCTTTTCTCTTCTCCACGTTTTTTCCTGGTCTGAGAGGAGAGGGGTTAATTTAGGATTGGTAAAGAGTGAAAGGGAAATTCATTCATTTACTCCACCCTAAACAAAGAATCCTGGCGTTTCCCGTAAAAGCGTTAAAGATGAGAAAGCTTCCATTGTCCTGGAGTAGTCTGGCTAACAGAGCGATGAACAATCTTATAAACAGGAAATCAATAATTAGGTTTTTCCCCTAGCAGTTTTGGAGTTTACCCTACTTTCCATTTTGTCACACTGTAAGACTTAGTCATCATGTCAGATCAGTCCATTGGAAATCTCAAAAAAGGTTTCTGATATACTTTAGTTAACATAATGAGATAATAAAAGGCAGAGAATGTGGTGTTTTAACCCTCCAGGTCCATGTATTTGTGAAGTAAAATGCAATAAATCATCCATTAAAGACACAGGAATACATGAGAGTCATTTATTTACATGTTAAAACAAACCATTCACTTTCTTATCAAATATCCAGTAAGCAGTTCTTTATTATACAGTTTTTGCACCCACCATAACTCGCCTCATGTGCCCACACACACACACACACACACACACACACACACACACACACACACACACACACACACACACACACACACACACACACGCACATAAATGATTTATAGTCTGTGTTTTTTTCTTCTATGGTTTCAAACTTCCTTTATAACCTCCTTTAGCTTAGGAAACACTGGACCTTCCTTTACGAAGGTAGAGGAGAAAATGCTGCCCCACAATGCCTTGCGGCCGCAACATTTGCCGTCACACAACATTCGGCCGTTCACGTAAACAACCGATTATGACCGAGAAATTAGTATCATGAAAGTTACGGTGCTTATTAAGAATTTTACAACTTATGTGGTAACTTGCCAAAGTGCTTTGTTTTGAACGTTCAACAGTATTATAATCAAAAAGAGAAATATGAACGTTAGTTTTTTACTGAAAATAAAGTCAACATTTCACAGTGTTTACTGAGCTGTGTGGGGTTTCTTAAACTTTTTTAAGATGTTTTAATGGAGATATACACAGTGATAGATGTTAAGGACTAACGTTTATAATAAATACATTTGTATTTGTTTTAAAATCTTTTCATACAATCATACGTAGGCCTATTGGGATTCATGTGGATTAACACGTGTGGACCGGAGGGTGAGGGTGACAAGCATAAGTTTCACTTCACTTTTTTATTACAATTCCAACCTTGTTCATGAAGAATATATGTTTCACTGTTGTCCACGTTCATAAAATACAGTAGTCCGCTGTTCTTAATCTACATCCATGTAGTCCGCTGTATAGAAAACCATAGTTTCCCCACAGCAGCATTCATGGCGTCCGCTGGCGCATCATAAATACGTCGGATCGTGAAAGTGCAGTCGGATTCTCTAAAGTACCACAGTCTCTTTTCCTAAGTCCTTTTTAATTATTCTATCCACTATCCCTTAACCCCGTGACGTTTCACACAGAGGTCAAGGAATAATGGATAGGAAAAGACGATAGGAGCTGATTTTTTGACTATTCGACTGCAACCATGGTCTCCAGCAGACTTACTCAGCAGTGGGAATAGAACTGTGTGTTGTGTGTAAACGAATACGATCCCACAGGTTGTACGCTCCCTCTTTATAGTATTTATGGTAACTGATGAATACAGCCACCCCCACAATGACAGCCAGAAGAACAGCTGCTACCACCAGACCTATGATGAGAGCGAGGTTGTCGGCTGTGGAGAGAAGGGTAGAGAAAAAAAGGAACATAGAATATAAAAGGTCAGGCCAAATACCAAAATAGTAACAATGAACTTCCTTTCTCATGTCACGTGTGTTAGAATACACTCTCCACTGCTGTGAGAAAGTAACACTGAGAGCGACTTTGTGGTTACTTTACAGCGACAATTATAACCCTGAAGACTTTACTTAAAACTGAACTTGAACAACCACGTTAAAGCCAGCTGACTGAGGGGAATGTGTACTTATCTTTTCAGCCTTTTGTCAGCTTTTGGGCTGCTCCAAAATGCAAAATGACAGACTGACTATCCACATTATTAATATTCAGTAACAGTTAAAACCCTGAAGACTTTACTTAAAGGGGACATATCATGCTATATTTGAACAATATATTGTAGGGCCATACCTATATAAAGTATATAAATATAGTTTTTTTTTCAAAATACCAAACAGATCATGCATTTTAGCCATGCCTCATTTCGCTCTATTTGCTCTTTCCAGCCCTGTTTTTGCAGGGGGCTGATTCTGTGAGCTGCAGCTGACCACGCCCCCCTGCAGGAGCGTGCTTTGAGATCAGCTGCTGGGCTGTCAGAAGAGGGGGAGAAAAAGAGATCTCCGTCCTCCGTGTTTTATTCTTATATATGATTATATAGAGAGTCATTATTCATTTGTTTTAAAGCTCAATAAATAACAAAGAAGACCTTTGACCGGCACTTTTCTAATTTTGTCCGGAAGATTTAAACTTGAACGGACATGTTGACTGGCGAAAAAAAATCTAACTGAAACTCTGCCGCACGGTCCCCTCGTTCCTTGGAAGAGGCGGAGAGGTGGGTGTTTGTCATCTGCTGGTGGACTAACCGGAGAGAATTACAGTGCTTGCCTCGACGGGGAGGGATTGCATTGAATTACAGGAGCAAACGCTTGCCTCGGGGAGGGAGAAAAAGAGCCACAGCGGAGAATAAACAGAAGGGCAACCATGGCAACCATGCACGGGAAGTCTTCTTCGCTGCTTTTGTGGCAGACTACAGCGCCACTTACAGGCCTGGCATATGTACTACAGCATCTCCAGCGCTTTTGAGCGGCAATGGCCGGCCGTGGCCCAACCCCACATTCCCCTGATAGGTGGAGAATTGACCACTAAGCGCACCACTTCTGTGACGTAGAAAATAATTCAAATCTGGATCAGTCTGTATCAGATCCATTGCAGCCCCTTTTTTAGAGATTTGGGTATGGAGGAAAAGAGAGAGGGTTGTGTTTTCTGACACTTGGTGAGTTCCCTGGAACACCGGGGACACATATTCATGTATAAAAGACGTACAAAAGTGCATTTTGCATGATAGGTCCCCTTTAAAACTCAACTTGAACAAACATGTCAGCTGACTGGGGAATGTCCTTAATAAATAAACGTGCTAGTCATAATATAATTATTATTATATTTGTTTTTATTATTATATATATTTTTAGTATTATTATTCTTTGTTATTTTTAGTATTATTATTTTATTAATTTTTTATTATTTTAATTATTATTTTTGTTTTTGTTAATTTTTTTATTTACAATAAAGGACTATCCACATTATTAATAGTATTATTATATTATATTATGATAATGATTCTTATTAATTTTTTATAAAAGTAATATTATCCTTATTATTAATATTATTATGTTCTATGAAGGGCAATTTACATTAAGTGTGCAAGAAATAGCATTTTACATTAAATATAAATATGGTTTTGTCATTTCCTCTCACTGTCATGTCCTGTGCATATTTTGCCTGTACTAAATTAAAAAAGACGTTTGAACTCACCTTTGACCTTCACGTCAAACTCAACAGTGATTGATCCTTTTTCATTGCTGACGTAACAGGTGTACGACCCTTCATCTTCATGAGTTATAGAGTTGATGAAGAAGACGCTGCCACTGGAGGGGGAAGTGGTTCTTGACGGGAACGTCCATGCATACGATGGTGGGGGGTTTCCCACAGACGAGCAGTTCAGCGTCAGAGGGTTTCCTTTTGTGAGGATGATCGGATCCGGAGGTACGGATGCCTCTCGCTGAGGCTTATCTGTGAGTGGATTGAGGAGGAAGAAATACAACACGTCATTACAGTAAAATGGGCACGTATATGAGAATATACACACATTAGCGAGTAGTGCAGGAATGAGTCCTTAAACCTAAAAATAAGTTAGCATTTCTGGTTCCCTTAAACCACTATGTTTTTGTTTAGATGCCAGTAATAAGGCTGAAAATGACCCAAGTACGTTTACTAAAGTATTGTACTGAAGTGAACATCTGACTTCCTTTCATGCCACTTCATACCTCATCTCCACTACAATTCAAAGGAAAACGTTCTCCAACACCACGCCGCTTCTTCGCTCCCTCCACTGGCTGCCAGAATACGCTTCAAGACAACTGTACTGGCCTACCATGCTGTAATATATAAGTATATATCCAGGGGTGCACACAACTTTCTCAGTGAGGCACTCAGATGAGTACCTGGAGTCAGTGTTTGGTACTCCAACTTCTGGCGATTGTCAACGGGGGGGTGTGGTAGTGGAGTACAGAGCATCATGACCGCGGAGCGTGTGAGCGTTGTGATCAGCTGTTTTAGCGCAGGGCTGCTGTACAGACCGACGTTAACAGCAGCCCTGTCTGTGCACACGGAGACTCTGTCGGCCGGTGATCTAACCGCCTTCTGGAAAAGCTTCACAAGTACGTCGGTACGCAAATGCGCTTTGTGACACAAGTGACGGTACGCATTTCAGATTGTTGCCGCGCATGCGTACCTGCGTACCAGTTATGTGCACCCCTGTATATATCTATCTACGGCAGGGGTGTCCAAACTTTCACCGAGGGCCACATACAGAACAATATACGAAGGGCTGGGCCACTTATAGAGGTGAGGTATATTGCCTCGTAAGTTAAGTTATAAGTTAGCAAAATGTAGGTCAATTAGGCTTGATACATTCATATGCTTTAAGAAAAAAACAGCCTACATCACAGCTCTCTATAGGGTTTCATTTATCTTGTTGGCAGCTCATTCCTTAAAACAGAAGCCTCAGATTGATTATAATAAGGGGAAATATGAAGGGTCTATTTCAAGATTGTTATATAAATAAGTTATTGGGCTTCTCTTATCAACTAAGCTTTGTTAGAAAATGTTTTCAACATTAATTGACTGAATTCATTTTAAAAGTGGGCTCATTAACACATTAATACTACTGTGTAATATATTGTTATATATATATTTAAGAAGTACAATATAAGAAAAGCACAAGTTTAATTTGTGGGCCATATTTCATTATACTTTCTGAATTTGCTGAGGGCCAATTCAAAATGGCCCGCAGGCCGCATTTGGCCCCCGGGCCGTAGTTTGGAGACCCCTGATCTACGGTATCTATCTATTTCAAGGGATCTGGTCCATCCTACATCCAAGACATTGTCAAAGCATACACTCCAGCACGTGCACTTCGCTCTGCATCTGCCAATCAGCTAGCTGCTCCCTCTCTGTGAAGTGGAACCAGGTAAACCTCAACAAAGACACGCCTCTTTGCTATCCTGGCTCCAAAATGGTGGAACGAGCTTCCCACTTATAACAGGACAGATGAGAGTCTCCATATCTTCCATCGCACACTGAAGACCCTGTTTCATTATACCTTGGTGAATAGTCCCAAAATGCTATAGCTAAATGTAAAGTAATGTAATGTAAAACAGATTTTCTTTGTAACTTCCCTTAATGTATCTTACAGCTAGTTACTTGTTACTTTAAAACCTAAGATTTAAGCATAAACAACACAAGAGTTAATGAAAGAGATTTTAACCTTCTGTGCCTCAACATGTCTGCAAATACCCCAATGTATGAAGCTTCGATGTGTCTTAAAAACAAGTGGTTAAATCTCATCATTCTTCTTTTGCATGTGATCCATTTCAGTTATAATTGTATTTGTCGGAGCAGTCATATGCAAGGTCTCTATTCTGCTGCAACTTTTACCCACATTTTCTATCGCAATTTCACCGCAGTCACAATCGCCATCTCACTTCAACTGTTGGTACTATATTTTTGCGCTTGTTTATAATAAATTGTCAAGTGAACGGAAGGAGGGGAGCCGTTTTGTTTAAGTTCCTGTGGTTTGCCCCTCTCGCTTTTTTTTTTACTTCCTAGAGCCGCTATTGATATGAGCTGCTCTAAGTTAAAGATCATGAACACTTCCATCACTGCAGAAGAGGCCAACCTTATAAAGAATGATGTTAAAGGGGCCCTATTCTGCTCATTTTAAGGTTCATATTAGTATGTAGTGTCTCTACTGGGACATGTCTCCATGCTTTAATGTTCAAAAAGCTCTTTATTTGTCTCATACTGCCTGTGTTGCAGCACCTCTTTTCACCCTCTGTCTGAAACCAGAGCCCAGTCTGCTCTGATTGGTTAGCTGGCCGGCTCTGTTGTGATTAATTAGCACATGATAACAAAGGCCCTACGTAGCTGTACGTAACAGGATGTATGATTATCAGTTCTGTTTTAGGCATATGATAGCTATGTGGTTAACATGATGATTCAGCCTCTATGGAGATAGACATATGACAAGCATGATCATTTCTGACGTGGAGCTAATCTGAACTAAACATTGAATACTGCTTTCTATTCCTCCATCTTGTGACTGTGTAACTCCCTCTCTTGTATATCAGCATGTGAAGGACACTGTTCAGGAACTAAATGCTCTGTATGTGATGACTACTTCCATTCTTGAGAGGATAATAAATACATTTATCCTGATTATAGAAGCTCAAGCCGGTGACGATACAGTTACATAGCGATGTTTTTAGTTTACAGAAGTAAACAAAGGAGTCTAATCGAGGCGTTTCAAGGAGACGAATAGACAAAGCTATATATCACTCTACAGGAAAGGAACACCCCTAAAAGCAGAATAGGGCCTCTTTAAGGTGTTTAAATGATCTTGTCGGACTCACAGAGGACAGCAGCAGTGAGTTTCTCTGACTCCACCACTGGAGGAGTCTGTGGTCCTTCAGCTCCCAGCTCCAGCTTTGCTTCACACCAGAACTGGACTCCATCATCTTCTTTAGTGGAGGTGATGTTCCAAGTGAAGACCTCACTCACTGGTTTCGGCTCGTCTTTTTCCGTCTTTAGTTCAACCAGTGCCGTCTGTCCTCTGTAGAAAGTCACTCTGAGGTTTTCCACAGGAGCAACATCCCGTACTTCACACTGCAGAGTATACTGCTGACCCTCAGACATCGGCACATCAGGGTGAACGCTGAAGGAAACATTAGCTGGAGGCTCTGTGGAAACAAATGGACACATTCAGTATCTCCATGAAAAATTATTAAAGCCCCTACACTTTGTTAGATGTTAGATTAGAGCCGGACAAATTGTTTTACTTATAAGTACAAATATGAATGCCACAGTTTAGACTTATTCTCTCCTGAGTAAAGCATTGAATTCTTTTTGTAAAAGTACAAAAGTACAAGAATCAAAAAGCACTTATTATGCAGAAGGCCATTTTGAGATGAATATATCATGTCATTTGATTATAATGAGTGACACCGTCATCATTTAAATTGTGCAGCTGGTAAAGGCGTAGCTAAATGTAATGACTTTTTATCACTTATAGTCAGTCGGAAGTTAAAGTGGACCTATCATGCTATATTTGAATAATATAGTGTAGGACCATGCCTATATAAGGCATATTTTTATTTATTTTTTCAAAATACCAAACAGATCATGCATTTTAGCCATGCCTCATTTCGCTCAATTTGCACTTTTTTAGCTCTGTTTTTGCAAGGGCTGATTCTGTGAGAACAGCACCACCTACAGGCCTGGCATATGTACTACAGCGTCTCCAGCGCTTTCGAACGGCAATGGCCGTGGCTGTCTCCTCCTGATTGGTGGAGTTGGCCCAATAGCCGTAGTGCCACCGTCCTGACGTCAGGACAGTGTTCAAATCTGGATCAGTTTTTATCAGATCCGTTGCAGCCCCTTTTTTAGAGATTTGGGTATGGAGGAAAATAGAGAGGGTTGTGTTTTCTGACACTTGGTGAGTTCCCTGGAACACCGGGGACACATATTCATGTATAAAAGACGTACAAAAGTGCATTTTGCATGATAGGTCCCCTTTAAGGAAGGGTCTCCTACTGGAAATATAATGACATATAGGTAATATACTGTCATGATGATAGTCCATCATGATTGAAAAGTTCATTTATATTCATATCAATAATACAAACCTGCAAAGTAACTAGTAACAAATAACAGTGGAGGAGTAAAAAGTATCATATCGGCTAGCGAATCATAGTGGATTAAAAGTATAAAGTAGGATAATATTGAAATACTTAAGCAAAGTAGAAGTACCTCAAAAGTGTACATTACTTAAGGAAATACTTCCCACCACTTTGTTGGATCATTAATAATGAATATAAACAGTTGTTGTGACTCACTGTAGACAGTTATATTCAGGTCGCTGCAACACTGCACACCAGTAGTGTCATTGGTATAATAGCACGATAGAGAATTGATCCACTCAGTCATTTCGTTGACCGTCCATGTAACCTCAGTTCCATTTTTTGTCAAGGCTCCAATAGGACTTTCAATATCAAATAAGCTGACATTGCATCCAGGCTGACACACGGAGCAGAGGGCGGAGGTCGGCTTCCCAAACTGCACCACCAGTCTGGATGGAGTGAACCGAGGTTTATCTGCACAGTTTTGATCTGTAACACACAGCAAATAACACAATATAGAGTTTAATCAGCGTGACTAAACATAACCGTACAAAAACACATTCAGGCTTTTTCATTTTACATGTTGTAGTTGTTTCTTATGTTCTCAGCAGCCTGATTTAAAATGAGCAATGCAATCAAACTTTCTCATTCAAGAAATCCGAAATTAAAGGTAGGGTTTGTAATTTTGGAGAAACCAGCTCGAGTAAGCTTTGGGTTAAATAGAGAACAATGGAAACACATCTTGGCAAATCATTTTCCCTACATCAGATACAACATTTAGCAATAGTATAACCTACATTTGCATTACAGGAATACAATCACTAACTAACTCAATCATGGTAACTTATTTACTACTAAGGTATGTGGATTTTCTCCTAATCAGTGCAGTTGTTTGTTTTTCTTGTGGCATGATCTTAATTATATACAGTGCCCACCACCAGAGCACCAAGTCTGGTTACACACAATGTTAAGTATGATATTCAGATTGTTAACAACGAGATACAACTTATTTCCATATGAACTATAGCCTACACTAAGCAATAGAGGATGGAAACATCGACAAGGCTACACTACTTCTTACTACTTCACTGGGATATACAGTAGTAACACAGTTTGGCAAACAATTGTCCCTAAAGCAGATACAATACAAGTGCTGTATGACAATAAAAATCGCTTTTCAAACAAACCACTATTCTGTATTTGACAGGATGTCTGTGTGAAACGCCCTCTTATAATACAAGGTATCACATTGGAAGTAAGTAAGTAAGTCAAATGTATTTATAAAGCGCTTTTCACAGACATAGTCACAAAGTGCTTGACAAAACAGTACAACATCATAGGAATCATAAAAGAATAAATGACCGCACAAGCCAGGTGTTAAGTGAGATTAACCGACTATAACATATTTATAAAAGCACACTTTTGAACAACTTACCACAACTGGAAACGTGGAAGTCTGGCAGAAAGTTAATCAAAGAAACCACCACAAATATGTAACAGGAAAACATTATTTCCACTAGATGAGGTGTCCGGTAATAAAAAAGGGTGAAGTCCAAAAGGAGAGAGTGCGAGTGAAATTGAAAGTAAAAGCTGTAACGAATTATATAATGTTAGCCTAGACCGCTTTTAGTTTCTCATTCAGAGAGGCAGAGCTTTATAAGGCTCGGAGGACTGCTGGGGTTTCCAGCCGCGTTATTGTAAGACAGACAACGATATGAGAAAATGAAACTAGGAAACTAGGCAAAGAGGGAGGGCTGTCCAAGCATTTTTGGGAAATTCCGGTGGCTGTCAGTGACCGAGGAGTGACCCGGTGCCAACTTCCCCGGATTTACCCACGAAGTCATGACTCACTGACTGAACCAAAGATAGCCTACTTCATAAAAATACACAACATAAAGACAAACAGTGTTGAAAGGAGATGCTAACATTGTAGAAATGCAGCCTAATGCAGAGAGACAGGAAGAAGAATACGTACTGTGGCAAACTTTTTAAACATTTTTTAAATGGTGCAATTATGAAAGCTATTTAAAAAAAATACTATTGTAACAAATGAAAAATAAAGGCAATATTTACACAAAATATAATTATATTGGAAACTGAGTGCATTAGAATATAATTAAATATGACAATACTATACCATATTCAATGTCTGTCTACAGTCCACATAATCACATATTATTATACTGGATTTAAATTGTACATTCATTCAAAATGATACAAGTAAAAGTACAAAAGGTATTAGCATCACAATATACTTAAAGTACCAAAAGTAAAAGTAGTCATTGTGCAGATTGGTCCATTTCAGAATAATATATATGATATATTTTATAATGATTGATCATTAAAGTGTTATCAAAGCTGGTAAAGGTGCAGCTAGTTTGAATGACTTTGTATACTGCAGGGTAGCTTGTGAATTTACTCCAGGTGGAACTAAAGTCTGATTTAACACTTGATTATATTTCACATCAATAATCAAAATCTGTAAAGTAACTAAAGGTATCAAATAAATGTAGTGGAGTAGAAGTACAAAGTAGCACAACATGTCAATACTCAAGTAAAGTACAAGTATGCCAAAATTGAACTTAAGTACAGTACTTAAGTAAATGTACTTTTCACCTCTGGTATTAAGTAGCAGACGATGGAAATACTCAAGTCAAAAGTCAAAAGTAACTCAAGCAATGGAGCTGAGAGTACTCGGCCCTGAGGTTTTTCTTATTATTCGGGTGGAGGAATGTGTAGTGGTCAGGAAGCAGATTCCCTTATCTCCTTCCTGTGACCCCTTCCTCCCTTTACTGAGGAAAAGTCAAATATCTCTCAAGTTCACAGACAGCAGAACTATGACTAACCTTTTCTTCCTCTCCCCCACACCATATCTCTGCTTCCTCCCTTCATACTCCAGATTTTTTAACTGCATCCTCATTTTATTTTTAAATCAGAACATTGGTTATTTGTCTCCCCTGCCCCTCCCCCCTACGCCCAGACAGAGGACTCCATATCAGGGAGTCAAATATTTTAATGGCCCCTGGTGTGAAGAAACGAGAAGCAGAGCATGTCAGTGCACCAAAAACATACCAGAAGCCCCTACAATACAGGTTTTATCAATAGAGTTTATTACATTTAAGGGACATTTGGGCATTTTTTAAGCTTATAGATACAAACAAAGTGCAGATAAATAAATATATAAGTATAAAAACTGTACTGCAACAGCTCCTACACTTTAATTCAGGTATATTGTAAAATTGCACATATATTATTATGTGTTTTTTTTTACAGTAATTGTTATGTTTTTATTGTATTTAGTTTTTTGCATTATGTTTCTGGTCTCTTTTTAAACATTCTTTGAATTTTTTTCCTTTTTTTTCAATATTTTTAAGCAGCATTTAATAGAATTGTTGCGTTTTTCCACGTTTTAGTTTCTCTCAGTTTGTTCACGTATGCGGCATTATACACCAAAGAAGACTCCTTGTATGTCAAAACCATCTTGACAATTAAGCATTATGCGTAAGCAGGAATTTCGAAATAGGAGGTGAATAAAGAGTTATGAAAATGTGTGCAAGATATAGATTACTACGGATAACGTAAAATACAAAAGTTGATTATGAATAAAGCTGATAAAAGCCAACATAGCCAGTTACAGATGGCTACAATAAACGCTTTATACATCATTATTAAATCGTTTATTAATGCTTTATACGTCAATTATAAACATTAATATTGGCAGGTTGTGAAAAAAGCCTATGATATGTCAGGATTTTTGTTTAAAGATCTAGAAAACAAAGGGTTAAAACGTTGAAATATAGTTTGATAATGTACAAAAGTGCGCCTACGGTAACAGAAAAATAAGTGACATTTCACTTCATACTGTAAATAAACTCTGATCTGAATAAAGTACCTCTATTGTTTAACAGGAAGTTGCTACACAAAATAAATAGTCAACCTCAATGTCACATGTATTACTAATTAATATTCAGCTTGTCTCTGCATGTTTTATTGAATGAAGTTGGGGCGTGTTCAGGTTAGCAGTAACGACTTTTGTTTGAGCTACTGCACTGATGTGCAGACGAGGTGAGACATGTAAATGTGTGGAAACGTTCAGACCTTGAGATATATGACAGTATCTTTGCATAACATGACATCAGTTTCTCCGTGCGTATCTTCAGTGCATTAACAATCATAATGTACGTTTCCCATATTTAACTATAGCTCTGTAATTCATGATCACTCGGATGTTCAAAAGGCTAACGTGGTACATCACGGACACTAAAATGATCAATTTAAAAATAAATGTTTATTCATTTTTGGCACAACTGTAGTTTCAGCAGGAGGCGGTGAGGCATGATATTTGGAGACGTTTGATAAACAGAGACAGCCCGAACCAGGACCGGCTGTTTATATTAAAGGCCATTATCTCCCCAGAGTCATGTACATTACATCAGGATGAGGTCACTGCTATATATACTTAATGCAGAGGTTTTATTATCTTGTATTGCTGGAGTAGCCTTGTATTGTACCTTTATTGAAATGAAAGTTACAAGTTTGATGTAATTTACTTTCAATGTGTGCAAACTAAAAGTGTTTATGATTGACTTTGGAATACAAGTTACTCTGAAAAATGAATGTCCACACTCTGTAAACCACCTAGTGCCATCTTTATTCCATTTAAAATAAGTTTTCCAGTTCTGCAAATTGAATAACAGAAGTGAAACACAGAAGTACATCAGCTGAGGTCTACCAAGAGGAAGTTGACCGTCAAAGAAAAGTCTTAGAGAGGGGATGTAGAAGGAAGTGTTACTAAACTTCGGTCTGATCTCAACAAGAAGCCATCTTCAGATGAATACGTCAATCACTGAAGTCATGCTGAGTCACAACGTGTTGCATTAGAAAAGCTTACATACAGATGTTTTTATTACCGACTCACAGCCTAATGAAGACTTTTTTCCTTGTCCTTTCCTGTCATTTTAAGCTAATATGTCAATGTTCTCATTCACATGGCTTAGTAACAATAGATGACAAATTAAAATGACATACTCAGGTTGATTACATTATCTTATTTTGCACTGTGAGCCCTTTAAATTTACCTGAGCACATGTAAACAAATTCATTCTCACTGTTGTTTTCAGGACTGTAAAACTTGTTTACTTATTTTACCTCCACTTTGCTGTCCAACTTCTCAAAAAGTTCATATTTCTATGATTTTCTTTGGCCATATTACCTTGGGATATTGAAAAATATTTTATTTAGATATTAATAGTTATTTATTTATGTATTTATTACAAGTTCCACATATAATTATTAAAGGTTACAGCATGCAAAGGCTTTTTTATTTAATATAAAAACACAGGGAATAGTTTACTTCTCAAACTATACCTTTACTTTAAGTACTTTTTGTACATATTGGTGACATTACGTTTATACTTTTACTTAAGTGAGATTTTAAATTCAGTACTTCAACTTGTACTGGAGTATTCTTACAGGGTATTAATAGTACTTTTACTTAAAGGTAGGGTAGGTAAGAATGGAGAAACCAGCTCGAGTGCGCTAGAATTTGAAAATACACAACCGGAAAAAATGTGCCACTTCCTTACAGAGCCCCTCCTCCAACACACACGAACGCGCACATGACCGATGAGGGCACGAGATAAGTTTGTGCACAGATGGAAGGCTGACAGGCAGGTAGGCCATCCAGTTATTTTAGCCGGGCCGGCTCAGATGATTGGTCGTGCTTTTTACAGCGCTATGGCTTCCACAGATGACATTTTCTTATGTATTTATTGTCAAAGCATTTAATATATTCATTGCTATCGGGATGTTAAGAGCATTCCATGGAATATAACAAAAAGTGTTTCTGAAGTGAATTACCTACCCCACCTTTAAGATAAGGATCTGAATGCTTCTTCCAACACTGCTTTCTTCCTCAAATTGTATCAAGGCTTAACATTGAATGTTTACTGTGTGGTGACACATTATGGGACATAATTCACCGTTGTGTATATTGTGTGTTGCAACACGGACCTGTTAGTGAGGGTACCGTGTTGTGGTATTCATATTAGCTTGACAGTAGCAACGAGCAGATGTACCTACCTTGTCTCTTAACAAATGGAAAATAAAGTGTGGAGTTCCATACTGAACACACCGCCTCTGACTCCCTTTCATCGGCTCTACAACTGCTGCTTTTCTGAGGTTGTTTAAAGATGGTATATGATCATACTTCTGAATCTTATAAATTCATTGTATTTCAAAGTACTATTATTAATTATTATTATTATCATTGTATTAATAGTATCTCCCTTTTATGAATGGTCTGAATTTCCGTTTCATTTGTTGCATGCGAGTCAGAATGCAAAGCACTTTGAGTTGCTTCTATGTCTGAAAATGCTTTATAAACAAACCCAGCTCATCTTACTTTACCTTACATGTCCTAACTGGTAAATACCGGGAAAGAAGGGAGGAGGTCTCTAATAGAGATTAATTCAACCGCACACAAGCAGAAAGGATAAAAGGAAAATGCTTACAGGTTGGCAAAAGTATTGAATTATGAAGAAACAAGTCCAACAAGGACACGACATGTGAGCAACTGTAATTCAAGCTGTTCTGTGTTTTCTTTTTAAATATATAACATAATTTACTCTGCATTTACTGCCACTCGTGTCTGTGTTCTGCCATATCTGTGTGTGTTTTAATGTCATTTATATCGTTAATTAAAAATGTTTTCAGTCCAAGGACCCCTCAGCTGAAAGAAATAAAGTGCAGTGTAAATATTATGTAAAAGATGAACAATTTAAGTAAAAAATGAAGTAATCGGTGGCCTAAAGTGCCATGTGTAAACAAACCTCATGGTCTCAATACATACAGGGTAATGTAATGCCCTCTAGTGGTGAAATATCTGCCTGACATTGGAAAAAAGGTCTAAAATAACGGGCTGGATTCTCAATGTACTTAGAAAACTGGGTTTATTGATATCAAAGGTGAACTACATATACATGGATGAAATACATTTAATTTCCCAGATATCTGGTGTGAGATGAACTCACACTAGCGCAGAGAATAAAAGCAGGAAACACATCATGAAGCTGTGGAGCCGTTTGCTGCTGGTACCTCTGTTTGGAGTTGTTGTTGTTGTTGTTGTTGTTGTTGTTGTTGTTGTCTTTGTGGTAGTCGGGGTTGATGTGGTTGTAATCATTGTGGTGGGTGGGGTTGATGTGGTTGTTATCATTGTGGTGGACGGGGTTGATGTGGTTGTTATCATTGTGGTGGATGGGGTTGATGTGGTTGTTATCATTGTGGTGGACGGGGTTGATGTGGTTGTTATCATTGTGGTGGATGGGGTTGATGTTGTTGTTATCATTGTGGTGGACGGGGTTGATGTTGTTGTCGGCAGTGTGGTTGAAGGTAACGCCAAATCTACGGACAATAGACAAAAGGACCGACATCAATGACATTTCCTCTCATGTAATCTTTGATTGGGTGTATTGTATCACCTGCAAATGGAAGATGATAAGGGCCACATGCTGAAAATATATTTGAGAATAAAGTCAGAACATTTTAAAATTAATTTCAGATTTAAAGGCTATTGAGAAAATGTCACGTGGCCCCAACCCTCTTTCCAGTTTTGGTAAAATATTTGTTACTTGGGTTCAAATGGCTCCAATATATTAAAGGGGACCTATCATGCAAAATGCACTTTTGTACTTCATTGTAAATGAACTTTTCAATCATGATGGACTATCATCATGACAGTATATTACCTATATGTCATTATATTTCCAGTAGGAGACCCTTCCTTAAAGGGGACCTATCCTGCAAAATGCACTTTTGTACGTCTTTTATACATGAATATGTGTCCCCGGTGTTCCAGGGAACTCACCAAGTGTCAGAAAACACAACCCTCTCTATTCTCCTCCATACCCAAATCTCTAAAAAAGGGGCTGCAACGGATCTGATAAAAACTGATCCAGATTTGAACACTGTCCTGACGTCAGGACAGTGGCGCTACGGCTATTGGGCCAACTCCACCAATCAGGAGGAGACAGCCACGGCCATTGTCGTTCGAAAGCGCTGGAGACGCTGTAGTACATATGCCAGGCCTGTAGATGGTGCTGTTCTCACTGAATCAGCCCTTGCAAAAACAGAGCTAACATTTTTCAAATTGAGCGAAATGAGGCATGGCTAAAATGCATGATCTGTTTGGTATTTTGAAAAAAAAAAAGTATAAATATGCCTTATGTAGGTATGGTCCTACACTATATTATTAAAATATAGCATGATAGGTCCACTTTAAGTTATGTTTTACTTTCAGACAGTTAATAATGTATCTATACAACAATATTCCCCATTCCTTGCCTTGATATACATGGCCACACTCATTTTGTTATCACATACACTTATCACATGAGAAAGGAAAGGGAGAACCCCAAAAAGCATGATAGGGACCCTTTAACTTACCTTGGACCGTCACGTTAAACTCAACAGTGATTGATCCTTTTTCATTGCTGACAGAACAGGTGTACGACCCTTCATCTGCATGAGTTATAGATTTGATGATGAAGACGATGCCACTGGAGGGGGAAGTGATTCCCGACGTTCTCCATGTATACGATGGTGAGGGGTTTCCCACAGACGAGCAGTTCAGCGTCAGAGGGTTTCCTTCTGTGATGATGATCGGATCCGGAGGTACGGATGCCTCTAGCTGAGGCTTATCTGTGAGTGGATTGAGGAGGAAGAGACAGATACATTCAACATCTGTAATTAACTCAAAAAGCACAATTAAATTGACAAACAAGCACAATTATAAATGAATTAGTTAGTAACCAAATTATCATCTAAGGCAGTGATTTGGGGGATTTTTTTTGCATAGATAATTGTTAGAAAAAATATCACTCGTCACCGGCTTGAGCTTCAATATCAGGATAAATGTATTTATTATCCTTGCAAGAATGGAAGTAGTCATCACATACAGAGCATTTGGTACAACTAGCTCCTGAACAGTGTCCTTCACATGCTGATATACAAGAGAGGGAGTTACACAGTCACAAGATGGAGGAATACCGGTTCAAAGCAGTATACAATGTTTAGTTCAGATTAGCTAAGGCCTGCGTAAACAATAAACATGACAGTCATATGTCTATCTCCATAGAGGCTGAATCATCATGTTAATCACATAGCTATCATATGCCTAAAAAGTGTGTCCTGATGCTCTTCTATATCATACATCCTGTTACGTACACAGCTACATTGGGCCTTTGTTATCATGTGCTACTCTGATATTGGAAGAGTACATTCAGTATTTTCCCAACAATAATTTTCCTAAATTACTATTTTTGTTCATCTACATGTGTAACGTTTTGGGAGATGGAATTGGTTCGTTGTAGGTTTTTGTAATATACATTTCCCCCACCAGAGGGTCACTCACCACTACCTAATTTTCTAAATAGGAATTGTGAATGATTAAAATAAATCTCCAGCCAAACAAACATGACAGTAAAGTGACTTAACTTGCTAACACTGCATATACGTTCCTTTGTTTTTAGATTTTATGGAGGGCTTTGAGAAATGTAAGCTCCCCTGCAGGACTCACGGATGCATTCAGAACACGAGGTAGAACTGCACTCAGCCCCTTGTGGCCGAAACGAGTATTACAACAACAGACATGCAAAAGTAAAATGGCAAATACTTACTTTCCTGTTTTGCAATTGGGCTTATATAATGGATCAACCAAATATATTTGCTATCTCACTTGCCTTTCAAGGCTTGAAATGTAGATCGATTAATCACTTTTTATATATCCGACTATCCTAAATTACGCATTTGCATCAGTGTGCTTTACCGACACCCTCTGTCCTTAGAAACGTGCAGCAATAAATCTAAAACTTGCCAATGAAACCTCCAAAACATATTAAAATGACAGCATAAACAATGCAAATAAATGTAATGATAATGTGGACATGAAAAAGAAGATTATTATAATGCATAAATAAATAAGTAATAATAATAATTTAGTCGGACTCACAGTGGACAGCAGCAGTGAGTTTCTCTGACTCCACCACTGGAGGAGGCTGTGGCACTTCAGCTCCCAGCTCCAGCTTTGCTTCACACCAGAACTGGACTCCATCATCTTCTTTAGTGGAGGTGATGTTCAAAGTGAAGACCTCACTCACTGGTTTCGGCTCGTCTTTTTTAATCTTACTGCTCTTTAGTTCACCCAGTGCCGTCTGTCCTCTGTAGAAAGTCACTCTGAGGTTTTTCACAGGAGCAACATCCCGTACTTCACACTGCAGAGTGTACTGCTGACCCTCAGACATCGGCACATCAGGGTGAACGCTGAAGGAAACATTCTCTGGAGGCTCTGTGGAGACAAACGGACACATTCAGTATCTCCATGAAAAATAATTAAAACACCTACACTATATGCAGAGCAGGAAGAAGTACTCAGATCTTGTACTTCAGTAAAAGTAAAAGTACCAGAGTGTAGGAATACTCTGTTACAGTAAAAGTCCTGCTTTCAAAATGATACTTGAGTAAAAGTGCAAAAGTATTAGCATCAAAATATACTTTAAGTACCAAAAGTAAAAGTACTCATTCTGCAGATTGGTCCATTTCAGAATAATATATATGATATGTTTTATAATGATTGATCAGTAAAGTGTTATCAAAGCTGGTAAAGGTGCAGCTAGTTTGAATGACTTTGTATACTGCAGGGTAGCTTGTGGATTTACTCCAGGTGGAACTAAAGTCTGATTTAAGTGTGATTATATTTCACATAATTCATCCAAATCTGTAAAGTAACTAAAAGGTGTTAAATAAATGTATAAGTACACAATTTACCTCTATGTTGGGGAGTAGAAGTACAAAAAGTAGGGCAGATGGTAAAGATGGAGCTCATTTTAATACGTTTTCATCACTTATTATTATAGTCGTTTTACATAAAAGCATCAGCTAAAAGAAATGTATTTTTAAATAAGTGTACTGCCATGAATCCTAATTCATAATGGTTCATCATTATTCATTAGATATAATATATGTTTCTGTTTTTTGTATATTTCAATACATTTAAAACATATATTTTGTATTAATAATATAAACTTGTAAAGTAAGATTTGGAGGAGTAAAAAGTACAATACAAGCATCCAAAGTAGCATAAATGTACAAACTGAAGCCAAGTAAAAGTACCTCAAAAGTGTACTTAACTACACTTAACATACAACTAGATAGATGAACTCAGACGATTGCTAACAAACATCAGGTAGGATTTTCTGTGAAATGGCAAGATGGGTGGGAAGGGGGAGGGACGGGGTGGCATGGGAAAGGGATTCCCTATATTTTTTCTTTGTCTTTTCTTTTTCTTTTTGTATTATTGTCTATATTTTAAATTTGTATCTGTGTATATAAGTCCCTCTGTGAGGGCAACAAAAACAAAACAATAACAAGTTGGTCACAAAAAAAAAGTGTACTTAACTGCAGCACTGCAGTGACTGTACTAAGTGTATTTCCCACCACTGTGTTAGATTATAATTGATGAAAATAAACAGTTGTTGTGACTCACTGTAGACAGTTATAGGCAGGTCGCTGCAACACTGCTCATCAGTAGTGCCATTGGTATAATAGCATGATAGAGAATTGATCCACTCAGTCATTTTCTTGACCCTCCATGTAATCTCAGTTCCATTTTTTGCCAAGGATCCAACAGGACTTTCGATACCAAATGTAGTGACATTGCATCCAGGCTGACACACGGAGCAGAGGGCGGAGGTCGGCTTCCCAAACTGCACCACCAGTCTGGATGGAGTGAACTGAGGTTTATCTGCACAGTTTTGATCTGTAACACACATTTCATAATATCGGTTTAAACATCTCAATGTGAAATTAGCTATCGGATTACACTTCTAAAGCACTCAACCCTGTCATACATCCTTATATGTACGACATGTATTTGTACTACATGGAGTAGTTTGTGTTTTGATGAATCCAAGATATTTGCATGTTCAATTTCTAGTGTATAAAAAGCTTACATTCAAATGCAATTAAATGCATCCCACCTGAGCATTACAACTATAAATATGTACCATAAATGATATAACATATAATACCAATAAAGAAAATACTAAAACAATTAGAAGACGTCACTTTTGCTTGATCAAATATAATAAGGGGGTTTTATCCATCACTACACAAGAACTAAATACTTGAAAAAACAACACAAAAAAACAGTGTGATTTTATAAAGGCAAAATATAATTATAGTTCAACATAAAAAATACAGGGAGAAGTGTGAATCCCCCAAAGAAAACTACAGATAGAAATCTCTTAACTTACCACAGGTGGGCTCATGGGAGCTGGCCAGGAACGTCATCACAGAAATAACCAAAAGAATCAAATGGAAAAACATTTTTCCTAGTTATTTTGAAGTAAGAGAAAAACCATCAGACGTCGAACATGAACCCCAAAGGCAGTCGGGAGGTGAAATGAGTCCACTCCGTCTTTTGGTTTTCTATTGAAGTGACTCGAACAATGCTGGCAGCGCAGCCTGTTTTCACATCACACATCCTGTCTACGTTTATTTTTTCCTACTGTATTTTGAAAGTGAAAGTGAAGCATTTCAACATTACATGTCTCCAGATTCAATACAAAAACAAAACATTTAATCTTGTACCTCTATTATCTTTTCTTTATTGCCTGTCCTGACACTGAAGCATTTACCCACGATGCCACTTCTGCTGTAACACTATAGAGGAATTCTGATTCTGATAGGAAAGAGATAACATGAATCTCATAAGAGGTTGAATTACTTCAGGGCAGTTAACTCTAGGAAAATCCAAGAAAGGACAGAAACTGAACACATGTCAACATAAATGCTCCATTCACCTGTATTATAGCTTATAGCCGGCAGAAAACAATAAAACAAATAAAATAGGGTTTTTTAATTTTGTTTGATTATTTAAAGAGGCTCTATTTTCCTTTTTTGGTTTTCCCTTTCCTTTAGTGAGTTATATAGGTTTGTGTGCATGTAAATGGTCTGCAAAGGCTAAAATCCATGTATTCCCTCCAGAGGGAGTTTCTCTCCCACACACTGCCCCCCCCCCGCCTGAAACACCTCCATTGGACACCTTTGTTTACTTCTGTAACATAACGACATCACTATGTAACACTCACGATACTGGCTAGCGCTCCAACACATTGTACGTGATAGGCTAAGGGGCGGGACATCTCTAAGAGGTTGACCAATCACAACAGAGCTGGCCAGCTCACCAATCAGAGCAGACTGGGCTCTGGTTTCAGACAGAGGGTGACAAGAGGTGCTGCAGCACAGGCAGTATGAGAAAAATAAAGAGCTTTTTGAACATTAAAGCATGGAGACATGTCACAGGAGAGACAGACACTAAATACAAATATGAACCTGAAAATGAGAATTAAACCTCTCTGTAAAGTGTCAAACAAAGTTGATTTAGAATTGTTTATATCACTATGCATTCAAACAAAGTTATTATCAAAGGAAATGTATTTATGCATGCACACAACTGACAGGCTTGGAGAGTAAACAGGAAGTATTTGCACCACCCTTCCTCACATTCAGCTCTGGGTTCATTAGTACCTTTAGGACCTTAACTAAACCTTCCACCATGTGACAACACGTAGAGAAATATTGATCTGTGCACAACATATCTGCAGGCCTTTAGGGGGTCTAGATACAAGGAATACAAGAGAACGTTTGGTACTTTGGTGCGTCAAAGTAAAGGACGTTTTGTGCATATAATTCACAATTGCAGAAGCAAACATTCCTCCGCTTCAAGGCGATCTTTATCGCTCAGCTTCCTGAGAGCCCTCCCATGAATCACAGGGTGTGTTCAAGTTCCTCCACAATTTCGCCAGTTATTCTTCACCGGTGATTATACAGTAACATCTGCGGAAAGTATTTCAATTCTGATTTCATTACTGTTCTTATATCCTGTGTCTCTCAGGTTTAGAGACAGAGGAAGGCAGAATATCACAGGAGCAATCTTGGGCATATTTAATGAAACAGGGTGTGAGTCTTTGGAAAAGAGCAGCAGGGCGACACAATAAGAATAGGAAGAGAGTCTGATTTGATCAGCGTTTTGGGAAAGGTAGGAGTCTGTATGTCTCGGATAACAAAACCACCTGTAGTGGAAGTGTAGTGATTCAGACAGTGTTCCCTTAGAAGCTTCCTTTCCATCCTTGAGTAAACTGACCACCTCTGACATATGTAATGAATATCTCCTTTATATTTAGTGCATAGCATAACAGTACAGAAACTACTGATAAACTGTGAAATGACCCAAATAGTGAACACAATCATGGTGTAATCCAGTGGTTCTCAAACTTTTTCTGTCAGGCCCCCCCTTTGGAGAAAAAAAAAAGTTGGGCCCCCCCCCCCCAACACAAATAGTCACGTAATGGGCCAAGTTAACATTTATTAAAATACATCAATATGAACGTGAGCATTCCTTTGCTAGAACAGTGATAATAAAACAATGCTCCATAAGTCTGTGTGGTCAAAAAAAAAATACATAATACAATTGTGCAATACCTTTGCTAGAACAATAAGTTATAATACTTTGCCACTTTGCAATCTGTGCCAAAAAATGAAAAGAAAGAAAATGCTGATATTAGGCAAAAAAGTGTGTCTTATCACAGGTGGCTGCAATGAGTTTTGCACTGCACATTTCTTCAAAACGGGGTTGAAGGCTCAGTGGCGGCGCCGTTTCATAGAGGGTGCTCAAACATTTAGGGTTTCCCATTTAGGTACCGGGCGCTACAGTGGAATGTTCTACTGCAACACTCCCCACACATATACACAATGTACCCGCGACTGTTACAATGAAGGCTCGATAATCAGCTCACGGCATATAGGTGTAAGCAGGGGTAAAGTGCTATTTTTGGGGAGTGGACCTAACCTCCTCTAGGGGGGTCCGGGGGCATGCTCCCCCGTGAAGATTATTTTTTAAATATTGAAGTTAAAAGCATCAATCTGGTGCACTTTGACAGCAACATGAAGAGATCTATGGATACATCTCTCAACACCCATATGAGACAGAACTGTAAACAGATTTACTTTTTATTTATGGATATTTTACAAATCACCCTTTTAAAAATTTTTTTTTTTTTAATGTCCTATAGTATTTGATACCTGTTTTTAATTTATTCTCTTATTTTTGTATAACTATATTAAAAAAAAAGAAATAATTGTTTACATTAATCGTGACCAAAACGTTTGAGACCCGGCCACTAACTCGCTAGCACCAGAAGCTAACAACAACGATCTCCGGTACCGGTGCGCTCTCTCTCTCTCGCTCGCGCACGCACACAAAATGGCTCGTTCGACACACACACACAGAGCCGAGCTTGAATGAAACACAGAGACCCAGACGTACTTGTACTGTACTGTATCATATTATTTTCGAATCAATAATTTTTCAAATTATGATCTTTTTTTTTCCTCCTGGTCTCGCCCCCCAGTTTGAGAAACACTGGTGTAATCCAACACCCACTGAGAGCAAACGGACACAACTAATCTGTATTCTTTTAGTTCAGACCCGGAGCTGTTTGCATCAGATTTGATTCATGACATCACTTCCCCTCTGGCGTTTTCACTCATCCTACTCATCAAAACAGACATACTTGTTACTCATGTATGAGCGTGTGTGACCTCTGTAGGATGTGTTGATATATATCTGCAATTTGTGAGCAAAATCAATTGTGAAACATGATGCTGCCACTATTTAGGATCTGTGTGTAAGCAAAGCTTGGCCGTGCCCCTACCACGAGGAAACACAAATAATTAATCTCAACTATATCGGTGTGTTGGAGAAAATACTGTTGTCTCCTCTTTGGGTTTGTTTTAATGCACTGATATCATGTGTGATTCTGAACTGTGTACGACCTTGCCGCTGCCTCTTTATGATAGGAGGAGACAGGGCATTTCTGGTTGTTGATCTTTATGAGGAGACAGACACATACTTGTTGTCTCCTACATATCTAATTTCTATGAGGCGTGAAGGAAGTCCAGAAGACGTCACAGATGACCCATCGCAGGTGACCCGACGCTTTTCCGACACCCGCGGCTGATACGACTTTGTTGTTATCTCCTGTATTTTGGACTACATAAGCCTGATGTTTTTTCCTGCTCCGTTGAGCAACATGTGTGTGAGTTAAACCATATCCTTTGTATGTGATTTAACTCTGCTCCTTCTTGCAAGAATAAATTAGTACCTGCCCTGCTGAAAAAACCAGCATGGACCAGCATGGTGTTGACCAGCATGGACCAGCTTATGTTGTGTTTTGGTCACCAGCATGGTCCACCAGCATGGACCAGCATGGACCACCAGCATGGACCAGCATGGACCACCAGCATGGACCAGCATGATCCACCAGCATGGACCAGCATGGACCAGCATGGACCAGCATGGACCAGCATGGACCAGCATGGACCCACCAGCATGGTCCATGCTGGTGGTCCATGCTGGTCCATGCTGGTCCATGCTGGTCCAGTATAAGTACCAGTTCTAGATCCTTGACTTTAGACAAACAATTCAAAAGACAAAATGTATTTAAAGACCAATCTTTATTTGAAGGTGCCTCTTAACCTGAGATATTAGTTATACAGTAATAGTATTGACAATCTAAAAAAACTGAGCAACTCAACAATCAACTTTATATTTTTTATTGTCTAAAGCATTTATTATTTTCATTTTTCCCCTCTCATATTCAGTGTGGACGGATTGAGACAGCGTGGTGTCCAGAGAGCTGCAGAGACTTCAGGGAGAAACCTCCGTGTGATGGACGTCCTGTCTGTTGGTTTGGAGAGGACTGAGGGTCTTTCCTCTGTGAGGAGGACCAGGCCTGATGGAGGAGCCCATGCATAGCTGATACCACCTGATCAGGCCTAGTCTGTCACTTTATTTGACTAAATGTGTTTACTTATACATTTAATAGGTTTACACCTTCTGTCCATATGTGCTTTTTATTTAAAACATGTTTGATTAACTTTTGGTTCACATTTCAATAAATTGAATTTGTATTTGCACTCCTTTTGTCCATTATTCTTACTGAAAATGTTAGATTACACATTCACATCCGACTGAAGATTGGCCCCATTTATTTGTGTTGCAAACTCTGCGGTACAAGGTACATGTTGTGAAGCTCATGAAGTGAGGCAAATAGAAAGAATCAGCTGATGGAGTGTAGATGTGGAAATAGGTGCATTCGATCAGCTGACTGTGTTTTCACAATAAAAATAGTTTCTTAGTGAATGTCCTGTACTGGTCTTAACATCTCATAACATCAGCTTTTCATTTTCCTATTGGATGTTTTTCTTGACCCTCGGAGAAAGAGGAGATGCTGAGTCGTGTCTTTCAGGCATGTCCTTTCCTAACAAAAATTACAGGAAACATAAAGCATATTATTGCAGAACAAGTGTGTTATTTATGAAAGAGGTATGTTTGTGTTTAGGGGCTGTAGATATAATTATTTTGTAATTGTAATGTTTTTTTTTATTTCAACAGTGAGCTACAAAGACAATCA